CTTAGTGATCTTGGGGCAAAATTGATCAACTCCGGCCCTTCCGGCAAGAGTTCCGAAGCGTCCGACCCGGAATTTTGAGGATCTCCTAGTCATTTTATGTTAAATTATATTGAAGTAACCAATCAGATTCAATAAAATACGAGCAAGGTCGCGACAAAAATTTGATGAAATCTCCGATAAATTTCGATTAATCGACTTTGACTTGGCTGAATTTTAAATATCGGCTATAAATAAGGGTCGATTACAAAAAAGTTAACTCTGCCCATTATACGACTAGAAAAGATTAAAAAACTAGATTTTTTTTTTCCTGCAATGATTTGTGGTCTTTTAGATAAAACCTCAGGAGAAATTAGGAGAAATTAATACACTTATACAAATTACTGCATTTAAATTTCTAACGAAAAAAAAATTTTTTGTAGAATTAACAAATCTAGAAACCGTTTTAAGGAAACTATCTTTTAAGGAGTAGATATAAATTGTATCAAAAAAACTTCCAATCGTAATTTGATTAAAGGTATACAAATTCTTTTATGGTAATATTCTTAATTTTTTAACTAAATTTGGTTTTTCTTACTTTACCTTTTAAATTTTAAATCGATTAAGTCCAAAACTTGATATTCACTTTCACGCATTAATTGTAACAATCAACTTCCACCTGAAGGGTGATCTATAACCTTAATTCAGTTCTATTACCGTCTGACAAAAGAAAATTATTTTTGGTTTTTTTTTTTTTGATGATTGTAAATCGTAATACATATAATATATATATAATAGTTAGCCAATAAAAATTATTGTTTTCTCCTGCATTTAATTTATCTAGAAGCGAATTTAGGTAAATGTTTTGATGTAAAAAAAACGTGTGCTTTTCGGCCTTAAACGTAATCGAAAAGGTAATAATCTTCAGATGATTATGCTCAATACTCACTCGTAAAAATATTTATAAGCTCATGAATAACTTCCTCAACAAAATAAAAAAAAATCTCAAAGATTAAATCTTTATTTCCCACGATCCTTAAAAAAAAAAAAAAAAAACTTTCTCTAACTCTAAAAAAAAAAAATAAAAAAATTTAAATTTTGTATCTTTCATATATGTATATAAACAAAACAATGAAATCCCAACAATTATTCTTTGTGACTCTTGGTCTCTTGGCCTTTATTATGTCGATTAATTCTTTTGTATCAGCTGGTATTTTTGATTTAAAGGCTATGCCTATGAATGATTCTGATACAAATCAAATGGTACAATTTAATTGGACAAAAGATGATGCTATCGCTCAACAAATTAATGCTAGTTCAACTGATCCACCGGCCGGTACTTCAACTGATACACCAGCTGGTACTTCAACCGATACACCGGCTGGTGTTTCAACTGATACACCATCAATCAATGCGGCAGCTACCCCTGATAATGCGACGGCACAAACTACACCGGCTTCTTCATCTGTTCCACAAGCTATTCCAGATAATACAACAGATTCCACAGCTGCTCAATCTACTCAAACTTCCTCACCTCCTACTAAAAGAAATTATGTTTCAAAAAGAAGTTATAATTCAAAAAGAAGTAGCAAATCAAGCAAATCATCAAGCGATAAATCCATGTGGGGAAATGATAACTCCAGGAATAGTAGGAATAGTAGGAATAGAAGGGATAGTAAGTAAAGATTATTTACAATAACTTACTTTTCTTTATAAATTATTTCTAATAATCTTATTAAATTTACAAAATGTAGTCGTATTAGTCATCGCTTGCGCATCTATTAGATTTTATGACTCAGTGGTAAATTTCTAAACTTTTTATAATTATAATAATTGCATATATATTATATCTCTTAAACCTCATCACTAATTTTTCTAATATATTTATTTATTTATAGTTCGGAAATTACAATGATGGAAGTCTTAGGTATGATTTCGGTAAATCTTGGAACTCTTGGAACTCTCGATATGGTTCTGGATCTTGGAGGAATAATTACGGAAGTAACTACGATGACAGTTATGACAGTTCTTACGATTCGTACGATGGTTCTTACGATGGTTCTTACGACGGTTCTTACGATGATTCTTACGATGGTTCTTACGATGGTTCTTACGATAATAGCCGTTCTAAATCATCTAAATCCTACGGCGGTAGCAGTTATAAATCAAGGTCCTACGGCGGTAGCAGTGATAAATCTAGTTCCTACGGCAATAGCCGTAAATCCAATTCCTACGGCGATAGTAGGGGGGATAGTAGGAATAGTAAGGACATTTCAGTAACGGTAATTGAATGTGAAGTTTTAATTTTAGCTATCAACAGACCAGACTATTATGAAAGATCTTCATTTAAATTTAGTAGATAAATAATTGATTTATTTATTATTTTAAATATATATATATATGTATACATATATTATATTATTTGGAGTCATGGGAAATTTTTTTTTTTTTAGAATTATCTTTGAGATATATATAAATTAGGATTCTTGGGTGTATAAAGTAATTTAATAAATAAAATAAAAAAAAACAAAAAAAAATCATTGAACATACTGGTATGTTCAAATAAATAATCATCGTTGCGCGCGTCTCGAATTAATAAATTTGATTAAAATGAATTTTTAACGTTATTAATAAAATAAATTTTATTAAAATGAATTTTTTTAACGTTAATAAAATAATTTTCAATCAACTTACGTGAAGTTCTAGATTATATCCATTTTTAGATAGAATTTTAATCATATGATTCTTAAAGAAAATATTGTAAGTTGTAAAATAAAAGCGATATAAAAAATGTTGTTATAGAACGAAAAGAATGCAAATTATTTGTATGAAGACTACAACTTACACTAGTTAAAATCTAAAATAACAGTATCTAATACGTGACTTATATGTAACTTAAACTTATACTTTATGTAACCTAAAGCTAGCCTATGTTTTATAAGCCAATACAACCTAGCTTTAGGTTAAATATTACAGTATTAAGTTACAAATAAGTTATATAAATACTAATTTTTTACCGATATTTTTGATTTTAACTAGTGTTAGTGAGTTTGGCAGATAATATAGACGTTGGGTAACGACTTATCAAAAAGGATTTATAAAGCTTTATCGAAAGAGGCAACATCTAAATGTATATGAGGATACAAGTAGTCGTAGTAATATATTTATTAATGAGATATTTAATGAGAACAAAGTCTAAAGACAAGACTAGTGCAATTACAAGGTCTATATATACTTGTTTTTGAAGACTAAGATATACAACACAATAAATATTTCTGATTGATACTAAAGTTTATCAAATAAACACAGGTTTAATCAATCGGGTACAGTACATACCGGGAGACAAGCTTCCTGATATGTACCCAATAGCCTGAAAATAAGGTTAATATGATCGTAGTCACGTGGATCACATAACTACGTATCATTTTCTACAGGGGGATCCCCAGATTTCCGGGTCGGAATGACCGGAATGCGTCGTGGTTAGGGTCGGGGTTAGGGTTGAGTTAGGGTTAGCGGGAGCTATAGGCTATAGTAAAATTATCGGCTGGGCACTTTTCACTTAATGAACGACTATTGTTTCATTACTAAAATTCTTAGTGATCTTGGGGCAAAATTGATCA